ACAGCAATGACAACATATCCTTCTTTTAAGAGGTGAGTATGTAATTTGGTTACTGATTGCAAGCTCTAAATTCTTAAGCGTACGCTGATCCATATTATTGCTTTATTGATAAACCGATGTCAGTCATCTGATAAAGCTGCCAAGCTTCCAAGCTGCCGTGGTTGCTAAAGGTTATATCTGTCAGGGAGCCTCTAGCATGTTGCTACACCAGCTTGACGCTCTATCGGTGACCCACAAACAAATTTCTACATGATTGCTGCGACGACTATTGGGGTTGATGTTGAACTTTTAGCTTTGCTTTGCAGCAAAGTGTAAACACAAAGCAGATCTTTGAAATAAAGGGAGCTTAACCCCTCTTTAGGATATATCTGTATATTAATCTGGAAAGAAATATGTATGTATGTAGAACTACATTTTTAGAAAGCTCATTCACATTTAGAACCAAGTGAAGCCATCAAGTTTTGGTGTGTAGCACACAACCACACCAAAAAACCAGCATCTAATTCACCCTGCACACATAACTGTGCCCTCAGCTGCTGTTCAGAATGACTCAATCCAGTTTAGCAGATACACAGCAATACTCTGATCTCTCTTCCTTTTAATGTGCTCTCTCATGGCGGGGTGTTAATGACTTACACAACAGATGTTTAATATGCTGTGTTTGGATCCATGTGCGCCGAAAGCCACCTGCAGTTTTCGACATGCATGACAACCTGTGACTCTGTCTCTGGGGCTGAATAAGCCCGTCCACACACACGCCGCTCCGTCGTATGAGCAAAGGCAAACACGTGTGAGGAGGAGGACGCACACACACACAAACACGAAACGGAGGAAGACAACATGCAAAAAAAACCGGCGACTGTGGGAGAGGGTGTGAATGAGAAGGGAAGAGATGAAGGAAGTGAAAGCGAGAAGGGGAGCAATGACAGCTTCCATCTGCTGGAGAGCTGCTGATGGTTCTCTCTGACAGAGACGTCCACTTGGATCAGCATGTATGTATACCCGGTAATGAAATAATGAGGGTCTTTAACAGAAGTGTGTTTTATAGCGACAATTAGTGGGGGAGGGATGTTGCTTCATCATGTATAGCGCAGGCAATTTTAGAAACGCCTGCAATTGATTTAAATGGGAAAAATGTGACTTTGAAATAGCTCCATACCCAGCAGAGAAACAGATATACATTAGAAAAAAAAACGAACAGAGAGAATAATTCATTTCTAGGTAAGATGAGAGCAGTTACACAACTGAAACAGGTGTGATGTGTTCATTGGTTTGACACTGACCCCGAGGTGAAGAAGAAAAGCCGGTCCTTTTTCACTCTGTTTCTCACGCAAGACCTGATCTTGCCATGGATGATGTTTTCACCTATCTCGCTGCGCACTCACATAAGCACCTTGATTCTAATGAAATGGGATTTTGCCTCCCGCTAACTTCTTGTAGCATTCCTGTACGGAAGCTTTCCAGGTGACAGTTTAATGCTGAACTTGTGTCATTTTGGAGGAAAAGAAAAGATTGTGGAAATAAGCCCACACTAGAAATAAGCTTTCACTTCAGATTCAGCATCCAGCTGGTAAACGTTGCCAAAGTAGAAAATAAAAATCTTATTGGCACTTAGATGCCAAATTGATACGACTGATCCTGATGGTCTGACATCATCCATCTATTGTGCTGTGCTGTAAAGTTCACCATATATTATTTTTGTAAAATAAACAAAAAATAAAACACAACCACTTACACATTAGAAAAGAGGGTCAAATTCAGATATTTGGGGTTTTAGTCCAATCATTGGACTTTGTTCTGACAGTTCTTTTCATGGTCAGTTATAAGCAATAAAATGTAGGGTATTGTTCCCGCCACAGCTTATTCTGGCTATCAGTAGGACTATTTTAAGTCCTCAAATCTGTTGTCATAAACAAATTGGTATGAAGCTTACAAAAAAAGCCCAAGAGTCTTGTTTGGGATTTGGCAAGTGTAGCGCAGCATAAAAACATTGTCAGAATCAATCATAGATGACAAGCTTATGATAAGTGATTGTGCTACGTTTGAAAAATGGATAGTGTGTCATTTTCTGCAGCAGACTGCAAGATCACTTTGAAAAGTAATTCTAAGACGACTTGGAAATGTAACATTGTGCCACATGTCATCACGTGTCAGCACCTATAAGTGGTCAGTTCCTAAACTGAGGTAGACTGCAGGAAGAATTACCTCCGATTGGAAAACTAAGGGAATTTGGTGGTGAAGCTACGCTAACGGCTTCACCATGGAGAGCATTTTCAGGGTCTGAACAAGTCAACCCCCAACCAACCGCCATAAAGGCGGTCTGAGCAAACTGTAAAAAGCAAATTATGTTTACACAGCATCCCTTTTAGACCAGACAGCTATCCACTGTCACTATTGTCTCAGCCGAGGAACATCTGTGATGTTTCAACTTGTCTCAAGTTGGCTGCCCAAGGTTTTCAGCAGCTTGTCAGCTGAGATCTGGTACATTCTGTCAGACTGGTTTCCATAATTTACTGCTGAGCATGGGCTTTGCATAGATTTAAAAGATTTTAGCAGCTGTTGCTGTGCTTTGAATGAATTTTAAAGCCCTGTAGACAGTAATTTTGGGATAACACATGCTGACTTTAGAGCCAGATAAGGATAGATTATTTCCCACATATCTCTTCAGGAAATAATATTTCTTTTAGACACCGGACTACTTGTTTGTGGCCAAAACACAAGCATTAAGAATAATTAGCTTCCTATACTGAAGCAACGGAAGGGGTTAGGAGGGCTGCTACTGAGTGTGAGCAGCTAATAAAGGATTCAGACAGAAAAAAGATGCTTGAAGAATCCTGCTCCGCTGTGATTGGTGGGTTGGGGCTGAGAGGGCTGTCACCACAGCTGCTGCCACCTAGCACCTTTGCTCTGCATATAAACCGGTACTGGTCTGATTGGCTGAACTTTCCTTGACATTTGTTTAATCAAATTACCACTCATATAATTTTCTTAGAGTAAAGTTGTGTTTTTTTTTTCTAGGTGTCACTTAGGACATTTTCTAACTAAACCCCTTGTTTTCAGTGCACAATGCACTAAAAAAAGAGAAATGGTGTCTACACATACCATGAGCGATTCCAAATTGGTAGATGGAAAGTATAATTCTAACAGTGAATAATGGCATTGCAAACCTAAATCAGCCAGATGTCTTTTTTTTATACAGCAGTCGTAATTTTTTATGTAAAGTGCTGCATGAGGCGTTTTGATTAGTTTTTTTTCTTTTTCCCTGTATGTGCCAAAAAAGAAAATAAAAGAAAACAATATTAGTGAGTTAGAAAAGTTGGCTAGTTTCAAAACTATTTATTAATTTATCCCAGTACACATTTTTTTTGCTGCTCCAGCAATATATATATATATACATATATATACATGGTGCTACTTATGAAGTTATGACATGACATAAGTGTTTTAGAGGGTTCCTGTTATTCAAGATGATCAAAAGGGCACATGCATTTCATAAAAGTGTTGGTTAAATGGAATATTATCTTGTTAAGGGACAATAATCCTCACTAATAAGCTGTTATGCACATTTAATGTAAATGAAATCAGCTCTTGAAAGCCACCAATGTGCTGAGGCCTCCCACGACAGCAGCAGAAGTTTCTGCTGCTGATGTCTGTTTTTGCAGGAGGAGAAGAGTCTTTTATTTGTCCTGAGGGGCAGTAGCCACCTGGCAGGGGTCAGTACGGTCCTGTCACTGTGTCATCACAGCATTGTCATTACAGAGAGGTGCAATGAGATGACTGACACTCAACTGTGTGAGTTTACTCTTTAGGCCAGCCTAAAACAGGCTCTGCTCCTCTGATAAAAAAAACAAAAAAAACTAAATAACATCATGACGCATCTGCTCCATTGTATAAGGTCATGTTTGCATTGATGACTTCTTTCCGTTAATTTGCACATTTAAATCCAGACCAGACTGATTGGGTCACTTTCTCACCAGCTCCTCCTTCTTGTGCAGTTACGTGGCAGACAGCGGTGGTCCTCGCATCCCAAATCTGACAGTCATGAGTGTGCGCGCCCGTGTGAAGTGAGACACTCGGGCACATGACAGATTCGGCTTTAAAATGACGTCACGGCAGCGTGGGGCTCAGCGGGCAGGTCGTTGATCAGTCTGAGAAGAGGAGCAGCAGGAGGAGACGGACCATCCTCCTCTCCTCTTAAATGACAAGCTCTCATCCCCCCTCTCTCTCTCTTCACACCTCCGAAACCACCCTCGCCCTCCAGGATTCTCCCGAGTCGCGTCCCTCTTCCCTTTTTTCAGTTCCACCTTTTTTCATTTAAAGTTTCCTAACCCCCCTCCGCAACCCCTTTAACACCTCCAGAGATGTAAGCAGATCATGAGGACCCCCTGCCACTGCTGACTTGGATCCTTCGTGTGTCAGAGAACCGAGCATCCTCATCGTCCTTTCTCAGTTTTTTTTTTTTTTTTTTTTTTTGGACGTTCATCTGCCTCAGAAATGTAGATGATGCGCTGTCATGTCAGCGATGAGGATCCCAACTACATGCCCTTCTTTTCCTCTCCGCTCATCTTGCATCTTTGTCTTTCCAGCCGGAGGAGGAGGAGGGGGGGGGTCGGAAATGAATGATTTTCTCGAAGGCAAAGTTTGAGGGGCACCTCCTCTGGTTACCCGCTCACCTGTGCGCCCGCTCCTCTGCTTTTTTATTTTATTTTTTTATCCATAACGAGGAAAGGGTATAATCTATTAAACAGCAGACGGACAACTTCTGAGAGAACTGACTGTTGTTGTGCTGTTTTCAGCGGGGATCGGTGGCTCCCCGGCAGGAATCTGATGTGCGCAACGATGAAGGATATGGCTTAAGTCATGTTCGCGGTGACAGCTGGAGTAAGGTCCGTAACTTGAGTGTTTTTTTTTTTTTAAGTCAGAAATTGTCGACTTTGGTGGAAACCCATCCAAATGGGAGGATACCTGGAGGACTGAGTCGGATTCGGCAGTCGAGAAAAATGTGGATAAAACGGAGTGTTGCGCGCAGGTAAGACACGGTGGCCCATCATTCTAAATAGCACCCTGGTTACTGATTAGTATGATTGAAGAATGCTCGGTTGAACCTTCCAAAATATAAGTGTTTTTTAGTGTTCTTTCACATTTGACGCCGCTCCTCGATATGTTCTCTCAGTTTTTTAAACCTACGCAACGACAACTTATACGAGTCTGCTGGAATTGGGGATTGGCTTTAATGTAACGACAGCTCTTTAACACACCATGGAGCTAATTATTTCACATAAACAGACCGTTTGAACACAGTGACGTTGGCACTAAAACATGTCAATGCGAGGGCTCCGTGTACTGACAATGTTTTGAGGTTCTTTTTTTATGAGAAATAAGACGGGGCATTTTCGCCTCCTGGCCGCTGGGTGGCGCCAGGAGCACGGCGTGTCTGTGCCCGTGTTGCGCGCGTACAGGCGCAGACACGCGCGTGTGCGCCAAACACACGCAAACAGACGCGCGTGCACAGCGCCCCAAGGTTAGGTCTATCAGCTCCACCCCACTTGTGCGAGCAAACACATGCTACATGTATTTAAGTGGCAATTAAGAGTTGAAATAGTTTCATAAGGAATACAAATAAGACTAATTTCATTTCCATGTGAGATTATGATAACATGACAGTTCTAGGGCTCCAAATGTCTATCTTCTTTTTGATGGCTTTGACCCTAAAAAGCTGGACATAGTGGGTGCATTCAGCCTGACCATTGGAGCTGATGGCCTACAGAGCAGACTGTCTGGTCAGGGAGGTTGGCTTGACCTCATCAAACAGCGGTTCTGCTCTTACACTCCAATATAATCAGATTTTCTGTCAATCTTTCTGTGCAGAATTCAAGACGTCCCTTAGCTCAAGAAACATAACGATCAACCCGTTCAATTCAAGTTTGTTTTTTAAAGTCTGGAAAGAAAAGATAGTGAATGTGTTCCTTAATTGCCTCGAAAGCAGGTTCAGAGGTAATAGGGACCTGTAGTCAGATTTTTTTCTTGCCACCTGCTGGATTTCATCCCCCCTCTGGTGGTTCTGCCTCCTGCCCATTTGCAGATGCACATTGATAATGCATGACACACATCGTACATCTTAGGCTGACCTCACAGAGTCGTGGCAGTGCAAGCCGTAGACAGAGTGGTTGCACAAGACGATGAAATGAAATGCTTTTAGGTCTGATATGTCTTAATGTATCGGTCAGGGTCACAGAGAAACCGATTTCCATGTTCAGGAATTTCCGTGTCACTTGCAGACGACGCAGAATGACAAAAATGAGACGCAGGAGGAACAACTGCAGGTTGTCCATAGTTGAGATTCACCACATTTCAGAGCGTCTCCTATCACAGGCTCTGTATGGTGAGCATTAATGGGGCAAATCTGAACTCTTCAGGAAAAGGTTTTTGTTTCTATGGAAGATAAAGAGTAGAAATTGGGCTCTAAACATGTGAAAATAAAGTTAGTGTACCTGTTGGAACAGACAAAGAACCGTCCACCCACACAAAGCTGATATGTGGGTGTAAATGTAACAACAGTGACTTCTGCTAACCAGGAGAAAAGCACTGATGGAGAGATGAGGATTACATTGCAAAACCACAGCTTTTCCCGATCCCCACAGTTGTTACTCATAGCATATTCTGGGCAAATAGTCACATAAAGACATGCTGTAAAATAGAGCGGGGTGATAATGTTTTATTAGAATCATTATGGAGTTTATAGACTGCGAAAGAACAATGAAATACAGCCTCGGTAAGAAAATCCTTCGAGCCATTTGACATGAACGAAGCACAAATTATGGGAATTCGTTGTGCATGTTATTAAAAACTGTTCTCAGACCCTTAACAGTCAAATGTTTTACTGAAACAGTGTCTTTGTTTATAATTAGAATAAGAGTTATGTGAAAATCAGAATGATTGCATTGCATAGTTGCTGAGCTCATTGCACATTGCTCCCATTATCCTGATAAGTTATTTAAACTAACTGTCAAGATTTAAACCTTTTTTAATGTTGTTGATTGACTTATGTCAGTTTATAGTTTAAGTACAAATTATGTTTGAAATAATTAGTTGTTTTAGAGTGCTGTGATCTGAACGAAGGTGCTGACGACTGGCTGCTTGTACTGGTTATTGCGCATGATGCAAATAGACAATAAAAAGGGCTTGTAGGTACGGAGTGCATATGGAATTGCTCAAAACGGAGAGTCCAACTGGAGGGTCTAAATGGATATTATTCATCTCTGTCAGACTCAGCATCTCCACGCTCCATCTTTCATGGACGTCACGCAGCTTTCAGTTCGTCACGGTGAGCTCTCTCCCCACTGAGGCACAGGAGATGCTATCAGGCTCCAGTATACCGCCGCTGCATAACATTACTGCCACAGACACCAGTTGCCTTTTCACAAGGCCTCGCCGTCAGGACTGTTTTGCACAGGTGACCGATTCCTCAGGTGTCTGGCTGCTCTTCCTCTGGCTTGGGTAAATTCTAGAAAAAAGATGGAGATGGGGTGTGGTGTGTCTGCTCAGTTTATTAATTAGAATGACTTTAAAACACATGGAAGAGCTCAGAAAAAATGTCTGTGATGATACCTATTCACGGTGATCATGTGTTGGGTACTCTGTGTGCTCCCGGTGCATTAAAGAGACGTGTGAGCATCTGACTAAGTGTTTAATTCTCATTATTTTTAACGGGCTTAATGGACAAGGATTCGCAATATATTATAGTTGGATAAGCTTATGTGTGATTGCACCGAGAAATACCTGCATATCAGCAGTTTTTGGCCTACAGTTGGTCTGACCAGACTGCGTTCTCAGAGCAAGCTTTTGCAAAAAGTATGGGGCTAAGCATGGCATTACTGTGTTAGGGGGCATCAGATATTCAGATATTCCTATGATTTAGGTGCCATCTTAATAGCCTCTATGAGGGTTATTAACTGGGCCTCTCTGGAGCGTGATTAACCTAATTTGCAGCGAAATAGGCTGTGTTGCTTCTCAGAGATCCTATCCTCTGGAGGCGTGTGTGTGTCTACGTGCGAGTGTGTCTGTGCGTGTGTTGTTGACACCCTGTGCTCAGCAGTCTGTGAAATCCAAAAGGACCAGGACAGGTTTGTCCTTGTGTCATGGCGGTAGACACAAAGCAGACATGGATGGTGGGTCATCACACCAGAAATACCATAAAGAGACACAGAGAGATTGTAAACGTTGTGGTGGTTCTCCCTCCCGTGATAAGACATAACCGCATACTGGATTATTGGAATGAGGGGAATTTGTTGTTTGTATTACCACGGCAGAAATGAATCTGCACCACCACTTGTGTTTATATTCCAAATGAGTCTTCTTTTGTGACCTGAGAACTCAGGAATCGCCTTCAGAACATAAAGGGCCTCCTCTGTATTTTAGGAGTCTGTGATTTGGCCAAAATAAAAAATCCATGATGATCCGTTGGGGTAGAATTGCAATCTAGAGTCTGAAAGCTCACTCCTCGTTGAACTCATATAATTACATGGTTTACTCTGCAGACAAAGCCCGTTGCTTTGATTTGAGGCTAAAAGACCAACTCTCCACTTTTTGTTCTCAGTGGTGGATTTTCTTTACTCGGACAAAAGGGAAAATAGACAAGATCCCGGACTCTTGGCTGGTCTTTGTCACATGTCAAGGATCACTGTGATGGTTTCTCTGATGTAGCAAAGCGCAACTGTCATGATGAACTGCTCAACATTTGACAACATCAGACAGCTAAGTAAGCAGGCACATCGTTGGGCAGCACAGTGTTGTAGCTGTGGAAACTTAGACGGTGGAAGACGTGGGAAACCCACGATGCTGCCCTGAGCGTCAGTCAGATCAGTCTGCCCAGGGTAGCTGGAGATTATCAGCCAAACAGCTGTTGGACATGACAACAGGCCCTGGGTGGTGTGTCAGGCTTCACACATCCAGAATCCAGGGGACCCAACCAAAATTCAGCCGTTATCAGCATCACCGCTCAATTTCTTATAGATCAGAGCCACAGTGGTCAGACAAAGACCTCAAGGGAGCCACTTTTACCACGAAAGAGAAAAGCCCTCCATCGATCACATCCTCTCCCTCAGCTCTGAGCAACATGTGATGCAGCGATCCAAACGGACGTTAGCGCTTTTCCGACCTTCCTCATGTTATGTTGCTCCGATCCACTGTTTTCATCCTCCATCTGGTGCTCCCCTGTGTTGGTTTAAAAAAAGACACGTTTTTGCTGTTTGTGAACAACATGCAAAGCAGTTCAGCATATGTCATTTAAATGAACATTCCAATGGGGATGCATAGCATGTCGATCAGCCCGAGCATTCACACGTCCAGCCTTAACTCTGAAAAAATGACAGCACTTACTCCTGAAGATAATTCCTTTTATTGCATGGTGTGAATCCAAAACGGAATATTTGGAAGTGTTGCATGCCTTCATATAGCTGAGATACGTCTTCACACATATGAGGCTTTGATCACAGCGAGGTTCCGTCACCACCATTGACAATGACCACCTTGACCTCTCTCAAGTGGCTTTACTGCATCAACCAGCTCTTTGTGGCAGTAACGTGTAAATTTTGCGTCTGACTGGCAGCTCTGATAAGTCCCACCCTGTAAGTTTTCTGAACCGGCTCTGGTGTTTTTTTTTAAAGCTGTGTTTTTTTCATGAATTATTTAACTACAGGTATGAACAGAAACCGTACTACTATCTGTGATGCGCACAATACCTGGTGAAATAGATTCCCTACGAGTTACACTGCTGGTACGGATGCAGTGTCCACTCGATGTCATCCTGTGTCCTTTTCAACAGGTCGTTTCATTGCTCTTTATACACAGTGACATCTTTGGAGACTGCAAACATTTATTGATAACATGGCACGATCTGCACGATGTCTGCATGATGAAAGAATAATAGTCGATAATGGATCATCGGATCCTTACCGGTCCGGTGCTGCGCTGAGACCCATCTTTCCTATGAGGCGAATGAACCAACAGCAGCTCATACTTGATTCATGT